CTTCTCTCCTCCTCCGGAGATCACTCTTTGTAGATTGGGATCCGAAGATCTCTCGAGAAAAGCCTCTGAACAATTACTTCGATTTTCAAAACGGACAAAAACATTTACAGGCATGGATATCTAGCCAAATCCATCACTAACAGTAAGAAATGAGATATCGCCTCGACAGAATTCACAGGTTCATAAAATGAAAAAGTTCAATTCAATATTTTTATTAAATATTAACTAGAAGCCAGGAAAAACCAAAGTGATATAACAGAATAATTCTTTCGAGACAGGCAGGGTTGCCTAGTTGATGCATTCACGTCCTTCGTTGTCGAACGACCCTTCGAGGTTCAGAACACCGATATCCACCCACTGCTCTGGTTTCGGATTGCCATCATGAATGAACACCGATATCCACCCACTGCTCTGGTTTCGGATTGCCATCATGAATACACCGATATCCACCCACTGCTCTGGTTTCGGATTGCCATCATGAATGAATTTTTTGGGAATCACGAACTTCATCTTGCGGAGGCATGGCTGAAATTTTCAAATAGGGAATCACGAACTTCATCTTGCGGAGGCATGGCTGAAATTTTCAAATATCAAATTGATTTGGATCGATATTTTTAGATGATCTATTTAATTTCTTAAACGATCAGAATTTTATGAGGTATCCGTTACTCACATGCTGCTCATCCAAGCAGTCGTGCCATATATACAGTACGGGGTCAATTGATGTCATTTCATGTGTCGTACCACTGACTTCAAAGCGTCCAACATGATCAGTACGTTTCTCGTCCAATGTATCGTCTGGATCCGGTCCTGATTAGAATTTCATACCTTTTAGGGTACCGTTTTTATGAAACCATACTTGTTTTCAGATAATCGCTATATTCCACAAGCCATTTCATCCCAAACACTCGAGATAACCTTTTCAACGTCTTCACCACCGCTGTAAGAGGAGTCACCAGACTTCTACTGTTTAGATTGCTATATTTTCGTACGAATCCCGTTTTTTAGGTTTAAAGGCACAGTTCACGAAGATTCTGAGGTATCTAGCTTAGTTGATTCAATGGAGGTTATAGCAGTATATGCGACAAGGCGAAGAAAGCGTGAAACCCGGTGGACTTCAAGAAATATAAAACTTCAAAAAAGTAGCAAAAAAGNTATCTAGCTTAGTTGATTCAATGGAGGTTATAGCAGTATATGCGACAAGACGAAGAAAGCGTGAAACCCGGTGGACTTCAAGAAATATAAAACTTCAAAAAAGTAGCAAAAAAGTGTCGTCCAACATTATGACAACAGAAGCGGCAAGAAAGGCGTATTCGGACGAGATGTCCGTGCAATAGCGAAAATAGCTTGTCACAGAGACCAAAAGATACAAAAGTTGCCGTCCCATCAGGCGCATTCATAGTACTGGCAGCATAGTTTATGGCATAAAAATGTTTCCTTGAGAATGAAAAAGGATAAGAATGGTTGCAGGTCTCGAGCAGATGCTTCGCGATCTTTAAGCGCCTGGGCGCCTCCCACATAAGCGTACTATTCGGCTTCGTCCTAACGCTTCATTGTGAGTGGTGCAACCTTGATAACGCCGTCGTATAAGGGCGACTTTTGAGTCTGTACGTTGGCCAAATGTATTTTGGAGTCCTTATAGCGCCCTGTAGAGGTCGCTGTTCGACACGGCAATGCCCCACGTTCCTTATATCTTGTGAGTCGGAGCTTCACCTTAGAAAAAATCTCAGAACCTTTTTGTAAACTGTGTCTTTAACTTGAAGATTTTCTTTATAGAAGTGAGCAAACAACTGGGGTAAACAGGACCAACATTGTTTCCACTCCCTTGGAATGTTAAGGAGAAGATTATTATTATTATTAATAACCTACCAGTATCGAGATCAACGATTCGGACTTTGGCGTTCTTGGCAGGCACTGCGCCACATTTCAGTACACCTCGAACTGCTACTCCTTGCTTTCGCATCGCGCAGCATGTTCCCAAAAGCAGAGCAGAATAAAGAAGGAAAATCTGCCAGACGTGCATCTGAAATTTTACGATGCGAAAGTAGCAAATGGCGTCACCAACACAAACATGGACCGATGATCGAATTTCAAAACGACCCTCGCCCTTCGACAGTAGTGAAACTCTCGATCATTCAAGCCAAATATTCGGTATCATACACTCTTGGAAAGTAGAATAATTGACTTCTTTATGGGCTAGTATTCGCAACTCAATGTATGGGTCAAATACCCATTCAAACGCTATTCTGAATAAATCTCAAATCTGCTATCACACCCAGAGACGAAATCAAACAATTCTAAAAATCCTTTGCCCGTTGATCTCAAAACAGCAAAATGTGCTTAACTAATCTTTTACTTATCGTTATACTCAAGGTGGGCGGAGGTGGTGTGACAAGCAGCGCACTATTATGCACGTATGGTAACAGGTTCGAATCCTGGATCTATATCCGCCTGGGCCAACCAAGCCTTCCATCACACGGGTATCAGTTAATTGNGGCTCGTCTGGGAGGATAAAAGCACTGAATTGTACATCGGCTGGCCACCTCAATTCACAGTACAGGTCACATTCGCTTTCATTATCCACTACGATTACGAGTGAATGTCAAGTGCGAGGCGCATCCACCAGACGGGATTGATCAATCAACGCCCAAAAACTTCTACAGTTTAAACTCGAGCTGCGTTCTTTCGAACAACGTGATAAATAACTGAAACTGAAAACTGAAAGAAAATATCATTTCCACAGCTATGTACTAGGGAGCAGACGAGAAATAGTGTCTGTTACTGGATAGCAAACTTCTTATGTTGACTTGTTGGTCCCTCGGTGGGTTCGCAAAGCGATAAGGGAATCAGTGAAAAGACCGGCTATCAAAAGAAAAGAGGAATTCTCTGATTTGAGGAATCAATCTGAGGTCATGATGTTGTTGTGAAGTAACCTTCCTACGGGAGACGGGCGTTAGGAACGATTTTGGGTAATCGATTTGCCGCACGCGGCTGTCGCGGACCACTCATTCG